TTCCATAATTAATTTCCCCCCTCTTCACTTATATTTTATAAAACATTAACTAATTAAAATGTTCCTGTCCCTTCCTAATTCAATTCTCTCATTTATTTCATTTATTTTATTAACAAACATTTCACTAGATTACAGTAACTATTTTATCCCTCATTTTAATCATACGTTGTTTCCAATTTTCTAAAATTATTTCTATTACTAATATAATAATACAATCTTATGTACCTTTACAGAATCCCTTTTTCAGTTAAATTTTCACCCATTATCTCTAAATAGGCCCTGTTTCTCCATATCTTGTTTCTGTCCTTTGTAACTTCTTTTCCTTTCCTTCCTCCCTCTCTTCTTCTCTCTCCCCTTTTCATCCCCTTGTCTTTCTACCTCTATTTCTCTCTTCTGTATTCCCCTCTTCTGTTGCTTTCCAATATTATACTTATTTTTCGAACTATTTTTCTTTTCTTTGGTTGCTTTTTTAAATCTTAAATTCTCCATTCTCTTTCCCCCCTTTCCTTTTTCTTCCCCACATAGAATTACTTGTTCATTAAAGATGGCTTCTTCTTTGTCCCAGTCTTCTTGTTTTGCAGACGTTTCTTGCTGTTTCTCATAGTTCCAAATCTCCATTTCTAAGAATTGAAAAACGAAGCCAAAAGAACCCCTCCCTTCTTGTGCATCTTTTTTGTACTTTTTAAGTTCCATTTTCAATTCATCCAGAAGTAGTGCCATTGTATAAATTTTTAAACAACCACCCGATTAATTTTAGTCATTCAAATGCAATAACCAAGAATCCAAAGATCACCAAGTAATCCAAATACACACAAGCTGTTTCTTTTTGCTTTTTTTTCACCTTCTCTTCCTGGGGTTCTACTATTTAGTTGCCAAGTTTCAGTTGAGATGTATCTTTTAGAAGTCTTGTTGAAGTTTTACTGTAGATTCCTTTTAATTCCAGGCAGTCTCCTCCCTTTTTTCCAGATCGTGCCCTTTTATTCTTTTTCTCTCCTTTCCTGTTTATAAAAAAATTTTAGTGTCCAGAAATCTTTATTATCCCTTTGACATTTTGTTTACTTTTCAGCTTAATTGCCTGTTGATGTCAAAGTGGACTTTTTTTCCGATTTCTTATTTAAATCTCTTAGCTGTCAGTATAGGGAAAGGGAGAGAAGAAGAAAAACCCAAACCTTTCCCTTTTCGCTTTCCTTTGTTGCTTCAGAATCTTCTTTGGGAACAATGTTATTATTTATTTATTTTTTAAATTCCAGGGTACCTTAGTTGTTGCTTTTACAATTCTTTTCCAGTTGAGTTCTTCTTTGAGGTGGCCATTTCTGACCACCGCTGCAACCACCTTCAGGAAAGGGAGTAATGGCCAGCTGAGGAGGAGAGATGCGGTTCTCCTCAACCCTGTTGGAAGTCTCCCTCCTCTTCACCACCTCTACAGGGTGGCTTAGCCCAGAAACCAGCTGGCTCGGGGCACTCCAGCAGCAAGCCCAGACCGAAACCACGCACAATCGCAGATTTCTGTCTGTCGCCAAAGAAGCTCAAACCGGAAGCCCTTGCAAACATCTTATTGTTAACATGACATACAAAGTAAAACTAGCCAAATAGCCTTCTCACATTGCTGGAGCACCATCAGCTTCGTTCTACCTCACCTGTATATCACAGGGGTCTACAATTTGCACTATCATGGTTATGCATGGTAACTGCATCTATTTATCCAGGAAATATAAGTCACTGGATTGCCATGCCACAGACTATTAATCATGCTTTATATAACACAGCAACTGAATTCATACTACATATTATGCGAAAATTAAAACAAAACAAAACAGAATGGTCTATTGTGATGGGTAGAAGATATTTATGGATTATTGACTTTTGGTATCACAATACGATTCAGAATATTGTATCTGAATTCTTCAAAGCATATTATATACAAGGGTGGGATTCTATAGGTTCGCACCTATTCGCTAGAACTGGTTGTTAGCATTCTAAGCAGTTTAGAGAACTGGTTGTTAGAAGAAATTACTGGCCTAATCCTGTAAGGAAGGCAGGAAGGAAACATTCTGGTGTTGCTCACAGAAACTGCCTCTCTGTTAACCCTTATTACATTCTTGGCAGGACTAGACTTCCTGTCTCAGGAACGTCTCTGGAGTTTTTTTCCCCTCCTTTGCTGGTACTTTGCTTGTGTGGAGTGACCATTCAAAGTTACAATGGCACTAAAAAAAGTGACTTATGACCATTTTTCACACTTACGACTGTTGCAGCAGCCCCAGTCACGAGAGGCCAGGCGAGGAGATGCATGCTTCAATATGAGTGATGTTGAGTTGGCCACGTCCACAGAACTGGTTGCTAAAAAAATTGAATCCCACCCCTGATCAGATAGCACATTATATATCATCATCATTTAATGACCCCATAATCCCTTGCGGGGTGGAGTCTGGGCAACTGAATGGAGCTAGCAGAGCTTTTTAATGGCTGGATGCCCTTCCTGTCACCAAGACAAGAGTTTTGTTCAGCAGATATATTCTCAGTGTGCCCAGAGAGAGAGGAATATATATGATAATATAAGCATATTACTCAAACAAGGAATCTTATCGATGTTGGCTTTTCTGGAAATCATTCTCACATTTATTGATCACAGAGTCAACTACAAAAATGCTTCTTTGGTCTTTTTAGTTGTCAGCAGAAAGGGAGGGGAGAAAGCAGTGCATTCCTTAAATGTTTGAGATAATCGCTTTGGTCACCGAAGCTTCTGGCACGCAAATTACTGGAGAGCATGATGGAGGACTCCTGGCTATGGATGTGTCTCATTGGAGAATATACACCCAGGGGGTGGGGGGAAGACCGGGGTCAAGGGTGAAATGAATAATGTGTCAGAGTTGGCTGCAACCGGGAACTGCCGACATGTCAACTCCTAATAAATCAATCATTTTTAGATGCGGCTAGAGACTAGGATTTGAATGGGGGTGCATGTCAGAGTCCTGACTTGAAAGAAGACCCACAAAACCAGTAAGCAAGCCTTGCCAAATTGGGATGGATAGCATCCGTCTTGTTTGCTTTTGGGGATGGCTCTTTCCTGGAAAGTGCCGGATTCCAGAACACTGCACGACTGCAAATGTGTCTTGCCTAGAACAAAGATCTTACTCCCCCTTCTCTAAAAAAAAAAGCGGTGAAAATACAACTCTGCAAACAAAACGGCGCGTTCGCACCCTGCAAGAATAGGTTTCGCCTGACCTCCCCCTTCTCAGGGAGTGTGGATGCCTCCCCATCACATGCATTTTTCTCATGTTAATTCTCAGCGTGTGGGTGTGAAGAGACACCCGCAGTCACATTTGCTGCCTTGTGAGTGAGGGGCGGAAGGAGAAGCAAGAGGCATGTGCTGCTGTCACCAGAGCGGGGTGTGTGTGTGTGTGCTCGATGCAGGAGACCAGAATCACGTTAGAATCCGGTCGCCTGCTCGACCAGGAGGCGGATTCCTGATGAAGCACACATACATTAAAAGTTTCCCTGCTGCCAAGTGGAATGCAACGTGCTTATTGGCTCTTTTTTTTGGGAGGGGGGGGGAGACTTGAGGACTGCTGGTTTTTGTCACAGTGCAGTTGTGTGTGTGTGTTTTAAATGAAGCCAAGAGCAATGTTTATTGCAATCAGAGACTTCCTGTCCCTCTTTCAGCTGTTATATTATCACAAAAAGCTTCACACAGCCTTCCCTTCCTGCTGATTGCCTTTGAATTGCTACTTCTCAGTTTTCGGGTGATAGTCAGTCATGAACAGCTCCACAACACTCTTATTTTCCCAGAGTAGGATGGGAAGGGAAAAGCCAATAGGAGAAATTACTTCAACCTACACCCACCCCGAGGATTGCTCTTTGTTAAGTCCTAATTAACTGGGTTCACAAAGATACCGAGCTTTGGATTACAATCCAGTGATTTAATTGCCAGAGCCTGCCAAGCTGAAATAACCAGGGTATCATTCTTCGGTGGCATTGAAAAGGCTATTGCTTGCTACGATTAAGGGACAACCTACTGGAGATTGTATTTAGATGCAGACTATCAAAACGTCTGCAAATAGGCCTTTTAAACAAGGGCCTGAAACTTGCAGGAACCAGGGAAGGAATACAAGAAATGGTCCTGGAACAAGAAATTTCTTTACTGAACATGCCGACAAATATTGTTAATTTCCCAAACTCAAGAGAAATCCTATCAATCCTGGCTTGGTTTTAAAATGAAATCCACAGGGTCCTGGGCAAAAAGAATAATGAGCAGCCACTCCTCCTAAATTACCTTTCTCCTGTGTGCAGAGTGCTAGTTGCTAAAAATTTCTTAGCACTGCGGGGGAAAACCCGGAGTTCTCTAGTTTTAACCTTAGAAAGTTTCTCTTCTTTTTGCAATTTTGGATCTACTGCAGTTGAGCTAAAAATCAGCAACAGCTCTGGAACAGATTCAGGAGTTGAAAGGCCTCATGTAGAATAGGAAATCCCCATAATATGTAATATAGATGAAAACCAGTCTAATGTAGAGGTTAAAGTGCTGGCCTAAAAACCAGGAGATGGTGAGTTCTAGTTCCATCTTAGGCATGAAATTCAGATGACCTCTCTCTCAGCTCAACCCACGTCACAAGATCGTTGTTGTGTACAGAGTTGAGGAGAAAGTACTGTATTAAGTACATTTCCACCTTATGTTAACCCCCTCCCTCCCCCAAACCCCCCAACAAAGACAGGATAAAACGTAATAAAAAGATAACTCAAGAAAGACCACTCATCTTGAGAAAATACACTTGCATTCTGACACTGATGCAGATATTAATATACAGTTAAACTGCTGGATATAAAACACCACCTCACTCTTTTTTATAATCATCTTTATTCGTTGTGGAAGATCCCCCACTCGTATTTACATAGTGCAAAAGCTGTTATTATTCCAAAAAAAGTATGGTCGACGGAATTATCCTTCATAAAAAGAACACAGACAGAACATGTTCATGAAGTAATTTCGTTACGATTTTTCCTTCTAATTTAAACTTTAGATGTTACTGACATTTAGTGTACAGGTATCAAAGATTAAGAGGCATTACCGAAGTACAGTTTTTAAAAGTACATTAACCACATATAAACATTAATCAGGCTGTGCCCCCTTATATTGATTTTTTTTTCTTTTTTAAATTATTGTTTTTAAGATTTATTGTTTGTGTAGGACTAAACTGGGCACCAAGCTATACAGTTTCTATTCATGGCTTTTTTTTTTAAAAAAAAAGTGTTCCATTAGTGATTAAAATCTGGTAAATTGACTGAGCATCTTGATTAATTGGCACAATTTCTCACACACACGCGCGCGCACACACAAACACATACATACATTACGACAATTTCAATAGACAGCAGCTTTTCGAATGAGACTCCCCCCGTATTCCCCCCACCCTGCCATTAAAATTGAAGAGCTTCCAGTTGACAATGGGATTTAGCTACACTGCATAGGCCCACCCGAAGAAGAATCTAAGGTTATATCCCAGTGAGGTGTTCAGAATACATACGAGTGCATCATTCAAAAGAATCTTTTCCAATTTTTTTTTCTTTTTAAAAAACCCCAAACAGCCGATCAACCACTACACCAATCACTGATCGAATCTCAAAGTTTGTAAAAACATGCCATTTAAAACGTAAGCCGGGGAACGGGGACATGTAACAGGGGAGAAATACAAGTATTGCAATGGATTTTTGTTAAGATAAAGGCATACATGTTACAATTAACCTACAAACCCCACTTTATTATTTTCGGCCCTCCACAGATGATCGTGCATCAGCCCACCTTGTGTTCTCTCTCCGCCTCGTGGCAGCTCTTTTTATGCCAATACTGGAAGCGCTTAGGATTATTTCCTCTAACCCATCAGACGTGACGCCCTTCCCTCCCCTTTTGCCATTAGTGAAATTAATTAAACTGGTTTTAAGGAAGAGGAAACACTGCTGAGCTCGGCCCCAATAGAAGTGCAGAAACAGGGCCACCAACCGCCCCGTTTGTTAAAAAAAAGATCCATTTGTGCCGGTAAGGAAGTTGAAGACACGGAGAAGGAACATCGAGGACGATGGATCAGCTATCGAAAGGGTGAACAGAAGTGTTAATATCTCACCGCATCGCAAGACGACAAAAGACAAGGAAGCACGTGAAACACAGAGAACAATCTAATACACTTCATAGACACACATTCTACCCTCAACTTGGTTCTCGCCCCCCCCACCCTCCACCCCAACCCCCAAAATGAACCCTTTATAAAGGACGGGCGGCTTCAGCCAATGATACGCTGTTTGTCCTAAAAGAGGCTTGCTGAAGTTTGAAGGTCAGCACATTCACATGTGACATCCCAGACAAGGGACACCGGAATGCTTTTGACTGAATTTGAAAGAGGTAACAATGGGAAGAGGGTGTGTGTGTGTGTGTGTGTGTGTGTGTGTGTGTGTGTGTGTATCTACTGGGTTTTATGCAAACTGGCAAGGGACAAATCAGGTTCTAAAAAGGGAAACAGACATTTAAGACAACATCTACCGAAGAAGGAGTCATTTTGGTTGTTCAGCACTTCGGAAGGAAAGAATTTCCACTTGTGGACAATCAGCAAAGGATACAAAGGCTACACCTGTCCTTTTCCAATTCATCACCTACTAATTCCACGTACAAGAGCTAATCATTCAAACTCGTCTTTTCTGCTACACTCCTTAGCACTAAGTGACCACACGCACACACAATTACAAAACATTTCCTCTGGTTTATTCTTATTAGAAGTAAAGATACTAGCTTCAAATGTGATCGCTATTGGTCCCAAACTATTAAGAGAGCAACTGACCTATGAAATATTTTACAATGCTGGGGATGCCCCTATTTTTCATAAAGCTTGTCTTCCTGCACTACCTCAAACCATCACTGTCCCATCCCACCTTCCTCCCAACCTCGCCGTTATGCAACTTGGTTTGGTGAAAATGAGTGCTTAGAAAACTCAGAACAGGCGTGCAAAATTTAAGCAAGTCATTTTAAAGCCAGTTCTTTATCTCTCACCCGCTCTGAAACTCCACAAGACCAAGGGCATTTTCCCTACCATAAAGCCACTTCTACTGGCTGTTAGAAGACCAGGGAGTCCACCTTCCCACCAAGACCAAACCCAAGGGGGGGGGGGAGTAAGTTCAGCCAAACAACAACTTCCCTTCCCTCAACCAACCCCCCCAAGCTTCGTATTTCATTGTATGTTAAAGGACCGATAACCGATTCTAACTTTCTTTTTTTTTTCTATTTACACGGCATGTATGAACTCCTAGTAACATTCCTGAGATCAGTGAAAGCATTAAGAAGCAGAACACGGCGTAACTGAAACAGAGTGGGAATTAAAAAAAGCGAGCAAGGAAAGCTTGAGGTCCCTTTTGGCGGTCGGCTTGTGGGCAAAGTGACTACGTGGATAATGTCAGTTGGAAAGTAAGCAGGTACTTCCATTACCAAAGTACCTGCTGAGCGATGTTCCACCAAAGTTCCTAGCCAAAATGGTTTTAGCCAACTGCAACCAGTTCTTCAGGAGTGTTATTACTTAAATATTATAAAATACTACTAAGAAGGTGCCCTTAGTTAATTCATATACATCCTTCTAGCCCTTTTTTCCCCCCCAGAACACATTTTCATTCTGATTACAGTCACTTTAACAGTCTGAGCAAAAGAAAAAAAAGAATCATTCCGGCTTAAGGTTAGGTACCCAGTGGACAAATACCTCCCAAAGAAGTTCACGGCAAGCCAATGTTGGTCAATACTGTCAACGCTTTAAAAATAGGTAAGGGTTTTTTTTTTTTTCAGTCTGAGAAGAGTTTTGCCTTAAAAATGGTCAGAGGCAAATAAGTTTCCTCATACGAAAAAAAAAAAAAAGGATGCCCAGTGACAGTTTAATGCACATAGGCTGTTCTAAGAAAAGGAATAAATATTAATCACACATGCAAACTCTAGGTTTCAACGGAGAAGTGATAAAGACAGCTACAAAAAGAAGAAGAAGGGTGAATTAAATACGGTAATTAAATGTTACACAGTGCAAAATGCCGAGAGGAAGCGCACAAAGCAATGGCTGCAATCCTTACAACAATTAGTTTCTCTCTCTCTCTCTCTCTCTCTCTCTTTTTTTTTTAAATAGTAAAAGTTTCTCCTGAGTCTGGGCTTAAAAGGTTCACGGCATATAATTTGAGTCTGTGTGTTTTGAATCGAGGGGAGGGCAGGGGTTTGGTTTCTGCTGGGCTTTATTCGCGGCCTTGTCTAATGTCCATTCCTCGTTGTCGGGAACCGCCTCGACTTGCTCGGGAGTTTCCAGCCCTTCCTCCTCACTCTGCTCCACGTTCTCGTCTTCTGCCCCGCTCAGGGTCTTTCCGAGCTGAAGGGTTTCCATCGTCCTCTGTGTCTCCGAGACCCACGACTCAATCCTGCTGTTGAGCTGGACTTCCTCGGAAATGGGCTCGTGGGAGTAGTCCTCCTCCTCCTCCTCCTCTTCCTCCTCCTCATCCTCTTCAAGCATTCCTGGCACAAGAGTACTGGTGGTGCTGGTCATGGAAGAATTCAAAATGTCCCGGCAACTGCCATCTAAAGAGCCGGTGTCTGTGCTTTGCTGGGAGGCCCATTCCAGGTTGTCGTCTGGCTTCGCTTCCTCCTTCCCACTTAGCGGTTTCCCCTGGGACACCGTGGGGATGAGGCCCACGGCAGCTAGAGATAAGGGCTTACCAGCAGCGACATTAGCGTTGCCGGGTTTTTCTGAGGTGGTAGCCTTGCACACCACTTCTCTTTCGTTTTCAGAGGCTTCCAAACCATCGGAGGTTTCCACCATGTTCCTCCAGTTGGTTTCTGGTGGGGAGGGGGAAAAAAAAAGAAAAGAATGCAGAACATTTGGGGAACACGCAAAAGCGCACTTCTCTTTTAAACAAGCTGCTAAGTGCCTCCAGGTAACGTCATCGCCATTCTAGGAAAAAGCTTTTGAACAATACAGTGACTGAAAGGCTGGCATAGGTCACACAAACAAGCGCTGTTTCCAGCGTGCTGTGGGGTTGACAATACTGAACACAAAATTCTGCGCATTGTGAGCAAGTGCTTAACGCTGCAAAATAACATAATCGGGACTATTGTCCGGTTGAGCACTTTAAATGCTAATAATTAAAATGTAAAAAAAAAAACACAAAAAACCACAACCCTTCTGTCTATAGCAAACCTAAGAAGAAAGGGGATGGGAGGAAGCAATTCTAAGAATGCGAGCTATTGTTTCCGTGAATAAAACTGTATGTGACAATAGACAAATTTTAGCCTATGAGAGTTTAACTATTTGTTTCCAAATCATCAACCACAGACATACTGAAGAACATTTGAAATAGTGCTACAAAGCTATAGTGTAGTTAGTACAGCGCTGTTCCTTAATTGTTTTAATCATTCTGATCTTAATGTTTTTAGCATCCTATTTTATTGTTTTAGTTTTTCTGTTTTTTTTTTTTTAATTCTCAGACTACTAATTGCTCTGGAAGCTAGCTGAGAGATAGCCTGTTTTATGAGACTGCAATACCCTATGGACCTTGTATTCTGAAGTAAAAGGAAAACGTACTAAATATTTTCAGATTTACGCAGCTGGTTGAATACGGAAATTTAATCTACCTAAAACAAAAGTTTACACTTCAATATTCCATGCAAGGATGTTGGCAAGGGAAAGTTAAGAGGGTTGCCAGCCACACCTGAGTGATCAAGCTCCATCTCACAAGAGACAAATGTAAAAATGGAATAACCGCACAATTGTGGCCCCCATGCTGACTTTTTAAATGAACTTCTCTTCCCCTCTCCTCTCTTTTACACCCTCCTGATTCCAAAGTCCAGAAATTCATGCCATGGTTGTCCTACCATGAGGATGGACAATTATGGCCCCCTTTACGACCTGTGGACTTTCGATTCCCAAAATGCTAGCTCAGGAATTCTGGGAGATGAAGTCCACAGGTTGTAAAGGAGGCCATAATTGCCCACCCCAACCTACCACGTGAATCCATTATATCTAACCTCAGACCTGTGATTAAACCTCAGACACGGGATTAAACAGACAATCCAACAGGCTGCAGGAAACTGTAACATTCCCAGGAAGTTAGGAAGTAAGCTAAAAATAGATCCCTCAAAGGTGAGTTAAAGGGAGACTAGAGGAAGAGGAGTTGGGAAGTGTTAAGAATAAAAAATTGTTTTGAAATGCAAGCTTACCGTACTCCTTCTCGTTCACCTCGGAAATGGGCTCTGAAATCACGCTGCAGAAGGAAATGGCGCTGGCTGCCGAAGGGTTCCGGGAATGGCCCATGTGGTGAGGCGCCTTCTTAATATTCTTCAAGGCCTCCTCCTGTTCTTGCTCTATGGCTGACACCATCTCCCGGTAGGCTTTCCTGGCCTCTTCCGTCAGAGAGACCAGTTTGTTAAAGAGGTTCTAGGAGACAAAGAGCCCACTAAGAGAAGGAAAACTACAGCCATCGGATGCTTCCAGGTGGTTTGCATTGCTCTCTTGGAAGGTTTCGTGCTTGTTTTCCCCGTATTTGTACAGTACACAAACAAATAAAAACTGTTTTAAGATTTAAGTACTTATATCCCACCTTTATTATTTTTATAAATTACTCAAGGATGCAAACACACGCTATACTCCTTCCTGCTCCTATGTTCCCCACAACCACCACCCTGTAGTGAGTTGGGCTGAGAGTGATTGGCCCAATGTCACCCAGCTGGCTTTCATGGCTAGGTGGATTCAAGGTCTCCGGATGAATGGTCCAAAGTCACCCAGTTGTCTTTCATGCTTAAGGCCAGACTAGAATTCACAGTCTCCTGGTTTCTAGCCTGGTGCCTTAACCACTAAACCAAACTGGCTCTACATAAATATAAAACGTGGAAAAAAAGCTACATATGCGTGCCCCTCTGATTACATCCAGGTTGGCTTTTATTCTTTTTTTAAAAAAAATACTATATCTCAGAGTTGTGTGTACGGAAAGGAATATGAGCACCAAACTCAATTCGAAGGTTTGGGAAGAAACACAACACACCCAAATGGCAGATTATTTTAAAGCACCGAAAAAGAAAGAATTTATTTTCAGGCATCGTTGGTTGGGTTAGGAATGCCATGGACAATGAACTCCATTCTTCTAGAGTTGACTGAGAAGCTCTTACCTCAGCGCCTGAAAAGTTGAAGATGCCCACTACGCTGACAGGAACTAACTTGTTTACGCAGCGGCCAAGCGCTTTGCGTCCGAGGGCAAAGATAAAAGGGATTTCTTGTTCCCGAGCCATGGCGATCACGTTATACAAAGCTTCGTCTAGTCCACCTTGAGGCACATCAAGAAACAAACATACAAACAAAAAAAAAGGTGAAGAACTTCCTCACAATGAGTCAGACATAAGTGCACCAAATTTACTAAAAAGTCTAAACCACCCAAAAGCTGAAGTTCTTTGTTTTACTGTGTCAAACAAAAATCAGAGGAAAATTGTATGCATGCAAAACATGCAAACCAGATGAATGTGAACCTGTCCAAAAATACGAAGTAGCAACAGCAATAGAACATAGACTTATATACCACTCCATAGTGCTTTACAGCCCTCTTGTAAGCGGATTTTAGAGTCAACCTATTGCCCCCAACAATCTGGATAATTTTACTGACCTCAGAAGGATGGAGGGTTGAATCAATCTTAAGCTGTTCAGAATCGAACTCTTGGTAGTGGGCAGTCAGCCTGCAATACTGAATTCTAACCACTGCGCCACCACAGTATGCACCAGCACACTTCACTAATATGATGGTACCTCAAACATATCAAGTATTGGTCTCTGGAATTGAATTGAATTCCTTCTCCACCTTGGCAGCTTTAAGGTGTTTGGACTTCAATTCCCAGAATTCTCCAGCCAACATTGCTGAAGGGAAATTCTTAGGCCATATATCAACTTTTGGGGGCTCAGCAGTATGGAAATTGTTGTCATGGTCTTCTAGATTTTTTTTTAAAACTCCCCAATATAGGCTACAGTCCTGAGAACGTTGATGATCCAAGCAATAAACAATTCTAACTTCATTTAGTCTTTTTGGGATCTATCACAATCTCAGCCAGGTGCTGCCATCTGCTGTAGCCCATAAACATCTACCCTGCAAATGCAAATGCAATTTGCTGGTGCATCGTATGTGGAAGAGCCTAAATGTCATCTCCAGGAAATGAAAACCACCATTTGTAACTCAAGTGCACCATCTACAGCCAGTCAGAAAAGGAAAATAGTGTTTCCCTGTTTCAAAATGCTGCTTGTTCAAAAGTGAGTATCAATTATTCTTAGTGGGCAACTTATCAGAAAGACGGGTGCCTGAAAAGAAAATTAGTCTTCATAGTTTAAAAGCCCGACGTAAACGGTTATTTAAAAGACAATGGATTGTCTCAAATACGATTGTCTTCTGTGACACCCCCGCCCCCCCCCCGCAAAATGCAAGAATGTTTTAATGTCTGCCCATTCGCTTCCCTGCAACCACAGATCCTGTGTCACACTCAAAACCCTCCTTTAATAGTCTTCTAAATCGCCTGGAGGAACTTCTTGAGAAAGTGAAGGCTGCCACAGGGAATAGCCCAAGGATTGCTCAGTGATCTAAGGATCACATGGCACCTTAGATGGCAGTAGTGTTTAAAACTTTAATATATAAAGGGAAGCAATGAGGAAAGAATGAGCAAAATAAATCCTATGTTAAAAGGGAAACTAGCTCATAAGAGAAGATACCCCCCAAGTGTCATGTGTACCTTTGGACTGGATCTTCTCACAGTTGGGAGAAATAATTACACACTTGATCTTGCTTAACTTCATGTGCTTGGTAACCTCCCGTAGGCCCATCACAAGTCTCCTCTTTGCTTTGGCTTTGATAGGATCCTTCTGATAAATTCGTTCTTGGAAGCTGACAAGTTCTTGTAAGAGGAGAGTCACACATTCATCGATTTCTTTACTGAGAACTTGATTACAGTACCTGCACGTTCGGGACGAGAGCAGAAAGACAAATTTCAGCAATGACTATCTGGATCTATCACATTGTGGGGGAAAAGGCATTCATCCTTTTTAAAGTTCTCTTTCTGAAACTTTGTTTAGTTTCATCTGCCATAAATAGAAAGACATGACTGAAAAAAAGTTCAAGGGTGTGTATGTTGAAGAGCTTGTTATCTGCATTACAAGCTGTATTTCTTACGTACTAAGTACTGCCTACACATTCCTCATTCCTTTGCTTAAAACTCTCCCTGAGCTCTGTACTATTTGAAAACTATTTTACTGCCAGTGTTTTCCAAAAATAGGGCAATTCTTTTATTTGCAAACAGACTGCATGGATGCCGCATGAAGCAGTTTCAAGTACAAAAGCATCAGTAATAATCCGAAAGGTGCTTTTTCAAAAGGCAGCTGGACTTTGTTTTCTCTTGAAGATGTTTCGCTTCTCATCCAAGAAACTTCTTCAGTTCTAGAAGTGAATTGAAAAGCTTCTTGGATGAGAAGTGAAACGTCTTCAAAAAACCCCCCAGAAAGTCCAGTTGCCTTTTGAAAAAGCACTTTTGGGACAACGCAGACCTGGATGGCTGAGAATCTCCACAGACAATCAGAAATAATCCTTGAAAGATTATGCATTGATAAATGAAACGTAATGTAGAAGGACAGGAGAACAGACAGTAAGGTGTCCTCAAAGTAAGCAAAGCAATCCTGGTATCATTACTTAATAATATAGTTCCCTTGTGGTGAGACTGAGCAGCAAGCAAATTTAATAAAACTTTAATAAATAAAACATCTCACTTTAATGTGAGAGACCCTTGACTCTCTACATCAGAGGTCTCCAACTTTAAGACTTGTGGACTTGAACTTCCAGAATTCTCCAGCCAGCTATGCTATGCTGGTTGGAGAATTCTGGGAGTTGAAGTCCACAAGTCTTAAAAGTTGCCAAGTTTGGGGACCCCTGACCTACATTATTTGTTGAATCCACTTTAAAAAAAAACTATATATACATTTTTCTATATGCATCTGGTATGTACTGTATAGTTGATGCATATTACATTTTTCAGCTCTGAGGCTGTGATAAAGATGAAGACATGAGAACCTACCTATGTCTTTCACCTACAAATACTTTTTAATCTGCTTATTTTATATGAGTCAATACCAAATCTTTTCATTTGTTGGAAACCAGTCACCTGCACTTGGACAACTTATTTCAAAACACCACATATGTCTGGCTAAAGAAGCAATTCCAGAAGCAATTTTCTCTCAGCTCAAGTAACTTATGCTCCGGAAAGCTAGAATCTCGTATTTAGGTGGAACAGACATGCCTCCCTGTAAGAATTTACATTCGTTCTCCTTGAGCCAGCCTGTTTTTCGTTGAACAAGTCCTACAGAAGGCAAAGCTTACTCTCTGAATCTTTTGCTGTGGATTTTGGTTATAGTTGACGATGCCATGGGGCTTCCTATCCCTGAACTTGCAGGGGAACCTTGGGAGACAGGAGTCATGCAGTAGGGAGAATTCTGGCTTGCTGGAGAGAGGGAGGTGTCACTCGGCATGCTCAAACCAGTTTCTGGAAGAAACAAGACAAAACCAACCAGTCATTCGTTCGTAAAGTTGCAGCATGGGAAATTTATTTGTATTGTTTCCCTGTGTCGTATATGTGTGTGTATGTGGGTACATGCACAATCCTTTTGAGAGCTGAAAGCAAACAAATTTCATTTTACTCTCTGCTGATTAGTATACATCTAAAATGACAATAAAGTTCTAGTCTATTCTTCAAATCCTCCAATATTTCTACTTCCATCTCATCATAATCCTCAGAAATACCGTTTACATGTCTTTCTTCATATATAAGTATCAGCAAATCTAAAGGTCTTTTTAAAAAGCTCTCCCAGGGAAATTAGTTCAAAAAATAATGTAGCAGATACAGATTTAATGAATAGAACAGGCACTTCCCACCTCTTGTTGGCCAATTTAATGACTTGTGTAGTGGAATGTTACATCATAGATTGCAACAAACTATTTTAGACCATTGTTTCCATGAGCAACTGGACCCAGGGAGTTCCAGGTTGATTTTTACTGAATTAAAAGTCCACTAAACATGCGTTTGGTTATATAATGGCTATTACACATTTTGATACAAACAGATGTGCCAGGTGGATCTTCTAACCTTCTTGAGATGTTAGTTCTTCTGCCTGGTTAGAAGTCAGAGTCACCTCTTGCTCTTCATCACCTCCCAAAAGGCTGTGATCTGTTGTTAACCGTCCTTTCTTTTCTTCTCTCTCTTTCAAAATAACCTGAAATAAACCCAATTAGGATATTGTGAATATTTTTTGCTGGCTCAGGAATTCTGGGAGTTGAAGTCCACAGGCCGTAAGGTTGCCATAGTTGCCCACCCAATATTGTTAAAAGAGAATGCTGCACTTTAAGAAACCCATTTACCTTTTTCAGTGCTGTAGGACGCTTCAACTTTGAGAGTTCTCTCTCTTTTCCTCGTTTTACTTTCGGGCTAGTGGAATCCAAAGGGTTAATGCAACCCACTGAGGGCTGCCCTTTGGAGAAGGACTTTCGACTGGTGGATTCTTTGGCGTGAAAAGGAACTGGACTGCCAACTGAAGATAAACCAAAAAAAAAAGTGGGCAACAGCTGAATTGATGCTGCTGGGGGGGGGGGGGGGGGGGGGGGAGGCAAACCCAGTGGTTTGCTCCCCCTCCCACCTCCTCCATTCTCATTAAAATGCCTTTTCCTTCACCGGAAACAAAAAACAGATTACAACAGCAAGGAAACTGTGCAGTGAAATGCTGCCCATTTGGAGATCACCTCTTATTCTAAGAAAATAATCTTGGAGAAAGAATAAGAAACATGCTGTACACCAGGTTTATAAAGATAAGTAATGTTATTTATTAATTCCTTTTGATAACTTCAAAAACAACCCTACCTCAAAGCATTCCACACTTTGTTGTAGGAGCTTGGTCCACACCACAAGATTATGGTCTACAAATCATAACATCTGGAGTTGCACAATATGCAGAATTCTGCCTTGGTGCAAACCATAATTGTATCCTAAGGTTCAAAGAAATGTTTTGCACGGAGAGTAGCCACCATTTATCCATGGCAAAAGACACTTGGGCTACAGAGGAGTGTCACACTGTACTTCTAAAGGAGGGATCTTCAAACTTGACAGCTTTAAGACTTGTGGACTTCCAACTCCCAGAATTCCTCCTCCTCCAGTCATGTTAGCTCAGGAATTCTGGGAGTTGCAGTCCACAAGTCTTAAACTTGCCAGGTTTGAAGACCCTTCGTCTAAAGGATTCTGGACCAAAAGGAGACGATGCCGTTATTACACCAGCTCAAGAGATGCTGGGGAATTGCGCAACTACTCAGAGCGGAGAAGTGAGGCATACCGACCTGTGTATGAGAGGGGCCTGGTGTTTGTGATCTGACGGGCCTTCATCGCCTGCTGCTGTTTTTCAAGCGCCGCCAGCATGTCGCCCAAGTCCAACTGCACAGGAGTTTTGCTCTTCTTTCCGGCTGCTTTTGAAACAGCTTCCTAGATGCAGGATGACAACGTGAGAGGTCACTTTCGGTGGCCAAAGGGATTATTTCAATCAGGCCATCCTGGCTTATCTGAAGCTGTTCTTTTGATCGTAAAAAAGGGAAGGGGTGGGTGAGGCCGGCAATGAATTTTATTACATGAACTGACTCATTAAGGAACCCAGACAGGTAGTCCTCGACTTATGACAATTGAGCCCAACATTTCTGTTGTTAAGCAACACATTTGTTAAGTGAGTTTTGCCCCCTTTTCCCCCTTTTCTTGCCATGTTTGTCAAGTGAATCACTGCAGTTGTTAAGTAACACAGAGGCGGAGTGAATCTGGCTTCCCCACTGACTTTGTCAGGAGGTCGTAAAATGACCTGGGACACTGCAATCGTCATAAATATGAGCCAGTTGCCAGGTGTCTGAATTTTGATCACATGATCAGGGGGATGTAAGTCAAGGACAACCTGAGTTATAATAAACAGAAAACAAGATTACTAACTTCCAAAGGAAGTGTAGCATCTCATTTCATTTGTTGCTTGCATCCTTACCGATTTGTATTGACTGTTTCCTAGTATGATTTGATTGCTTATTGTACCCCATGACTATCATTAAGCGTTGTACTGTATGATTCTTAACTCTTGATGAATGTATATTTTCTTTTATGCACACTGAGAGCATTTGCACCAAGACAAATTCCTTGTGTGTCCAATCACACTTGGTCAATAAAGAATTTCTATGCTATGCTATGCTATGCTATGCTATGCTATGCTATGCTATGCTATGCTATGCTATGCTATGCTATGCTATGCTATCTTTTTTAAGTAAACTTTATTTACAAGAAAAACATACAAATTTAAAAATACAAAAACAATAGTATGTAAATAACACGTACTCTTTGAATTTGATATCGAATTTTATGCCCTACTAATCAGTACTAACTGCTACTTATCGCATTTTCATTTACTGTCACATCTTAATCACTAAATAACTCACAATACTCTACTAATCTTCTCGTTGGTTTATAACTATTATTTAATTAATACATTCATATTATTTAAATAATGAATAAAAAGATATACTAAATATATGATAATAATGTAAGAGAAAACAGGATTTGAAACATATAAATGAACCCAAGAAACAAATTATATTCAGCTGCCTATATGAAATATGAAATGTATTCCATATTCTATTCTATTCTATTCTATTCTATTCTATTCTATTCTATTCTATTCTATTCTATTCTATTCTAGTTCTAGTTCTAGTTCTATTCCATCTTCAATTCAATTCAATTCAATTCAATTCTATAGCTATACTATACTATGGGAAACTTTCTTGCATGATTCGTAGGCACCCGAGTTTAGGGACCTCCATCCAACCCTTTCCAGCATCAAACACTGCAATCGGTCCACCTGGATTGAAACCCAGAATGCATTTCCATTATAACCATTAAAACAGACCTGAAGCTTCCTCTGCTCCATACTGATTTCTGAATACTCTTGGGCTGTGGCCAGTGCTGCTGCGAGAGCTTTCTTCTTTTGACTTTTTGCTCTTTTGGGAACAGAGGTGGTGATTGGAATAGGAGTCTGTACTATGTTGATTGGAGAATTTTCAGGTAGATCATCCAACTAAGGAAAGAGGAGGTGGTGATTAACTATAAAGGGGGTGCAGTGTTAAAAAGAGATATAGCATAAGCAGCAGCTCATTGTACATCGGTTTTCCTAGAGCTGATCTTCTTTCTTTATCAAGTGTTTTTTCTAAGTGGATGGTCTGTTTCTGTGTTCGTAACTCCATCAGCCAAGGTGGTGCAGTGATTACAATGCAGTCCTGCAGGCTAATTCTGCTGACTGCCAGCTGCCAGCAGTTCGATTCTCACTGGCTCAAGGTTGACGCCGCCTTCCATCCTTCCAAGGTCAATAAAATGAGGACCCAGATTGTTGGGGGAAAGGTGTAAACCGCTTAGAGGGGGCTTCAAAACACTGTGAAGCTGTATATGCTTAAGTGCTATTGCTATAAGATGCCTCACAATGCTGCAATAAAGCTAGAATTTGAATTGTAATGTGCAATTGTCCGCTAACTTCTCTAATTATACTTAAAGTCTTATTTAACTTAATAAAATGCAACTCCTACTTTAGAGGCCACTCAAAATTAGCAACCATGATTTGATTGAGAAAGACTGCTGGTTCTTGATTCTGGTATGTGCTGCACCCAAAATGTGTTTCTGAGCACATCCCCAAATATGCGCATAGTTAAGGCATGGTAAAGTCTTTCTGGCTAAACTCACTGCCTGGTTATCACATTAAGCAGGTCTGTGGGATTTAGGGGTTACTACAGAACCTTCACTCCTGATATTGCCTGCAGGCTCCCGGCCAAGTAATAATCTGCTTTAAACTGAATATCCGGATCTTAAGAAATCAAATGTTACGCTCTTCACAATGCCGGTCTATTGCTTTTGTGTGTGTGTGTGTGTGTGTGTGTTCCCAAGGAACACTTCTGCTCACTTTTATCGCTGATTAAAATCAGCCAAAATATATTGAAAAGAAAAATAACCTCACTGCAGTTCTAGCCTCCAAATACAGTATAATAGCGTCACTTACCATTTTGGGTGCATGCTTCAGCTGCATGTTATTAGCTTTAGAATGTCCACTATCACAATTTAGCTCTGGGAATTCTTCTTCATCCTGAACAAACAAACAAACAAAAAAATATGGAAAATTCATTCACTGAAAGTCACAGAACAAAATATCTGTATTTTGCAAGGAAAGCATTAACTCAGCTAAAGATTGGTGAAAACTGGCCAATGCATATGAAGAGTACCAAAAGGATTAAGCATGAAACTGTATTGGAATTTGTAGGAAAGATATTGTTATCACATGCCAGGATATATTGGAAACAAACTGAAAAAATGTTAATGATCATTTGAAAAATAAGTTTTTAATGTTTTAAAATCAGCAAGCAGGGCACTGTAAGATGTAGCCATCAACCAATTCAAAATCTCCACTTGTCTTAGTGAGTGAAAGCTGTCATAAACAAGATTAATGAAAGAGTTACCCCAAAATATAGCAGTTCGGGGGTCTGCTCTACTCTGTTTGACTGGCTTGTGATTACTGGTTTCTCAATTTTCTTCTGCAAACTCTGTTTCCTTTCTGAAGATGTGCTGTGACCTCTACATTTAAAGCCAGGCTATACAAGCAAATAAAAACAAACATATTAGGACTGTCCCTTTTAAATTATAGTATGAAAGCACCCACGTAAATCACAAAGTATGTGTTAGCTATCTTGTCTGCCAGATGAAAATATGTGACAATAAAAAGTTGAACAGTCTTCACAGAGTGGAGCAGAGTAAATGGACTGGCATTACAAGAAAATAAAACACTAATTCATGCAGTCAATATTTTATCAGCTTATTTGGATTCTGTGTGCCTAAACCCAGTTTAATAGGAAACTAATTCAATAAAATTAACATGTTTAACAGTGTATACAGATTGTCAATTAATTCTGTAATCATCTTTCAGCCAAGAGGCACAAATGAAAGAAAGTAGCAATAGGTGGAGAATTTCATTTCTCTAATAAACTCTGCAAAGGAGAAGCAAATTTCTTTCTAATCTAAGAAATTCATTAAATGAAGTTTTATAAACTGACTAACAGATTCTGCAACTATCTATCGAGTTTGTTGAAACCTGAGCTGAAAGTTCCTAAAATCTTGGAAACAGTAAAAACTTGCCAAGTATAGTGCTTTCAGACAGAAGATTGAGCCAACAGAGCATCTTGCTATCTATTCAACAGTATTTTTCTGCCTCTAAAGAAGGCCTGAAGTAGATCAGTGGAAACTATACCTCTGAATCGTGCTGAGGTTCAGGCTGCCTTCCACCTCTGGAGAAAGAGTTTCTCTCTATCCAAGGCTTCTTCTGAGTTGCTTGAGAACTGACGCTTGCCCAACTGGCACCAACTGAGACAAGCATCACAGAAGTTTAAGGAAAGATAACATGTGAAAAGAGAAAACAATGCAAAGAATACATGTTACTTTTTTTTACACAGAAAAAAACCAAAACACCACACCTTTAGGAAAGCTAGCTAGATGTTGGAACTAATCAGCATGTGTATTCACATAATTAGCTTTCTTTGCCAGTTTATATGGTTACATCATAAAAAATAATTTAGAGAGCAGTCCGTCTGCAACTTCTCTTTCTTTAAAGACACCGAGCAATCTTGAAATATACAGTATAGCTACCATTCTCATTTGCTTGTTTTTCATATATGATATACTGTATTTTATTCCCTAACTGTATAGATTTCTATTTCTATGTTTTAATTTTCAGCATAGGGGTACAAGAAGGCTCTCAACTTACTCGCAATCCTTAAGAACTAATCAATGCAGTCACGGAAAATGTGGCCAAAAAAAAGTGGGGGGGAATGGAAAAGGAGGCAGATTATCAGGAATTACTAAAATGTTAAATATTGAATGTTTTTTTAAAAAAGTGTTATTCTGACACTACTCAAAAAAATTTTGAGGGGAGAAAGCTGGACAGGTTCAGAAAGAAACCCACTGTATTTAAACATTGCAATGTAGAAAAAGATTAAAGTCATCAAGGCGAAATCGGTGAAAGCGACAAAATGTATCCATCACACGCACACGCAGACACAAACACACATGGCAATGCTGCAAACTTGCAAAGCCAGGAAACTGTACCTGGGTGTATGGACGATTCTTTGATCTGCAAATTAAAAAAAAAAAAAGTTGTAGAGGTTACGTTACATGGGCTGATTTAATGTTGCTCTCTACTCTGAACTTTTGTCGACTCTGAACTTTTGAACCTACGTTTGTCCCGGCCGATTCAGCACTTCTGGATATGGCTGCCCCTGCTTGGTTGCTGTGCTTGGGACTGCAATAGCCACTGTCGCTATCAATATCGGCTTCGCTGGCCCCCTGCTCACTCGAGGATTCGGCGGGGTGGGAGGTCCGCCGTCGCCTGCCTCTCGGCTTCCAGTGCAGACCACTCACGCTCTCCGACAGGGATTTGCTGGCAATCTCTGAAGGGAAGTCTGCAAGGCAAAGAAGAGTCGCAGGAACTGACAAGGGTTTAACACAGGGGTTAAACTTTAACTCCCAGAATTCCCCAAAACCAGGGATGCCCAACCTTGGGAACTTTAAGATTTGTTGGACTTCAACTTCTAGAAATCCCTAGCCAGTCAGTCCCCAGAATTCTAGGGAATTCTGGGAGTTGAAGTCCCCAAGGTTGGACACCCTTGGTTCTGGGGAATTCTGGCAGCTGAAGTCCACAAGTCCCAAGGTTGGACACTCCTGGTTTTAATGAGCAACTTTCTTCTTGAGAAATCATGTGTTGATGGCCACAAGGACAAAGCTTCTAAATAAGAGAAAGGCCACTGGATTGAGAAGAATGAAATCTACTTATTGTTAGGAATCACTTTCTTCAGCCTCCTTTATTGATCAGCTTCATTTGCCTATTACATTCCATAGCTATTCTTTCTAATTTTTAATGATTTCTCTTCTTACTTGGAGAATCAAGTGACTTCTGCTTTATAGAATGCTCAGCATATCGATGGTGGTTTCTAAACATTAAATAATAAAAGGAAAAATTTCTTTTGTGTTGCTGTCTAAGGATTAGCAAGACAGGATGAGTAAAGCAGTCCCTTTGATAAGCAGCTTAATAACAATACGTCATTAAGTCGCTCTGGATGGCAAGTTGGGCAGCATGTAAATTTTATAAAATTGAAATATAAGTAAAAATGTCAGTTTTGAAGTGTCATGATTTGACTGAAACCACTGTCCATATTTCCGGTGTGGAAGGTGATCTAGTTATCAAATCAAGCTTTTCTTTCTTAAAAATATCATTTCAAATTGAATAAGAAGAAATAGAAAAATAGATCTGGTATACTATACAAAAAATTAAACACATAATTGCCACACCTGTTTGCTGACAAGCATCCACCAACAGGACAATTTTGGGTCTGTTCTCTGGGCCCGAAGAGTTCGTTTCCTTCTGGATAGCAACGTTTTTCACTGGAGGCCTTTTGCTCTTTATGTGGGGTTGTGACGGCGGCGGCTGATTGAAAGATTAGCCAACAAACAGATGAAGCTACTTGACATGACTTAGGAGGGGTGTGTGTGTGTGTGTGTGTATCAATCATAAGAATATATGAAGAGCAACAATCAGATCTGTGGTCTTTTACCTTGTTACTTCTGAAACTAGTTTTATGGAATGTTAGTCTATCTGCTCCCATTCTTTAGGTCTTCCGAAAGGCCTTGAAGACCTGGAAGTGCCAACTGGCCTGGGGTCCCAATGGAAATGTAGCACTTTGCAGGTGGCTAATAGAGTAGATAATCCCCACCCCACTCCAACCCACCTGCCTTTGCGTACTTGGCTCCGTACCTCTCCATCCTGCTTAGTTTTAATTGAATTTTAAACTTAAGGTCCTTATTTATTGTTTTAATAATGCTTGACAGCACATTCTACTCAACTCTATGAGCTACCGAGAGCACTTTAGACAAATTTGGCAAACAAACAAACACACAAGAAGTCTTTTAAGTTTTAGAGTCCCATGAGTACTGATAACTTAATAGGTCGCTGATTTCTGCATGAAGACACAGTGGCACTTCTCATGTTTAGCCTCTACCTCACGTGAGCTCCCCGCTGAAATCCCAAGGACAGATTGTTTAACAAATAACACCTAATGACAGGGCTTTACTAAGTGACCTGTAAATCACGTTAATCCCTTGTGATCTCTGCCCAAGTGATGGAGATTAACAAGTGGAAAACAATCTGGAATGCCTGAGAAAAAAATATGAGGGCGGCAGAAACACTTAAAACCAACTTTAATACATTCTGGATGTGTGTTACGTAGCATTGAGAGCTTGTGGCCATTGTAAGCTTCATTCAGGTCCTTGCAGAATCAACGTGCAAATTCTGTGACTGAAAAAGCATATGTCTCTTAAGCTGTCAGCTCTCCCAGGGTAAACCAAACAGGAAGTAGGAGTTGATGAATTCTACTTTACTGTAAGGCTACATGAATAAAACCATGCAAATCTGAAGACACAAACTTCCCGCCACCACTTTTTCCAAAATGCACAAAACGAGCTTACTTTTTGCACCATCGATCCTCTGCTGGTACTTCTGCTCCTGGGGCTACATAACGGAAAGGCCTGGCTTGGTTGGGCCGGACGATCTGTGCATTGTGCTGTAACTGGGTTTATGGCACTTGCAGGCTGAAAGGAGGCAGAGTAAGCTGTTGGGAAGGGATGATAAAATCCCATGACTTGAGTACAAGGCGCTGGCATCAGTTGATAGTAGGTATACTCGGTAGAAACTGGTGGCTGAGTAGATATAATGGGATATGCCAGATATGGCCCGGCAGGGTTCGTGTTAGGCTGCTGCCACCTGATGTCATTATTGTACACTGGAAGTTGTCTGAAATAAATGGGGGGGAAAATCCAGTTAGGTCAATGCTTATTTCTCTAAAATTATTGTAGTTTAAAGAAAGGGTGTCCAACCTTGGCAACTTTAAGACTTATAGATTTCTAGAATTCCCTATATTTTCTCATTTTCTGTATATTTTTTTAAAATCTTTTAATTTTCCCTACTTTCAATGTACTAAAAACTCTTAATAAAAATGGAAAAAATAAAGATAATGCCAATACTATAACTTCGTTACATAGTACAGTATAATCACAGAATCTTGAAAGCCTGCTAGAGTTTCCGCCTGCTCCCTTTTACACTATTAATAATCCGAAGGGTTTTAAGACTCTCTCAAAATAATTTGTTCCCTAACAGTCATGCCACTCAATGCTCTGCAAGTTCACTCAGAAGAAAGCCACACTGAGTCCAACGCACATCCAAGCAAGAAAAATACATCCTTCATTTTTAGATTTTTCCCAACATTTCGGAAAGCAAGACAAATTAGATTACCCTAGTCCAAACAGAGATAAAGCAGAATAAAACAAAACAGTATAGATTGAATTACCTGTTGGATTGGTTTTCTTGAACGAATGGGTAGCACGTAATCAGGTAGCTGGGAATCGGAGTTGCCTCAACACCACTGATGTTTCCACCATCATTTGGCAGGGTCATGGGCATCACCAGTGAATCAGGGGCCTTCTTCTGAGGAATGAATGGTTCCACTTCAGCAGACAATTTCACATTCTTAAAGGGAAAAACAAAATGAAAAGGATTCTTGGTACACAGAAGAACCACCAGGATAATTAGAGGACTGGAGGCTAAAACATACAATGACTGGTTGCAAGAACTGGGCATGGCTAGTCTAGTGAAAAGAAGGACCTGGGGAGACATGATAGCAGTCTTCCAATATTTGAGAGGCTGCCACAGAGAGGGAGGGGGTCAGGCTATTTTCTAAAGCACCTGAAGCCAGACAAGGAATAATGGATGGAAACCGATGGAGAGAATCAACCTAGGAATAAGGAAAAATTTTCTGACAGTGAGAGCAATCAACCCATGGAACAGAAGTTGCCTTCGGAAGTTGTGGGAGCTTCATCACTGGAAGCTTTCAAGAAGAGACTGGAATACCATATATCAGAAATGGTGTAAGATCTCCTGTTTGGGCGGAGCAGTTGGACTAGATGACCTACAAGGTCCCTTCCAACTCTGTTAATCTGTTAACCTGCTTTTTTAAGTTTTCAAGTTTGCTGTGTGTTAAACCTAAGCAAGCTATTTAAGCAAAATTGAATCCACTCAGAATGGAATGTTTGAGAACTCTTATCATCAAAGGACACTGGCTTTAATTTTGACAAGAGATTTAGTACTTCATTCTTAATATTTATACATATATGTATATTACGGCATTTATACACTATCCAAATCAGGTTTCACCATGTCAAAAAGCAACACTCTTAGCTAATGCAGCAAACACCTCAAAAATATGTTTATTACACAAGTTCCCAGTGATATACAGGTAGCCTTCAACTTACCAGGAGAATTGAACCAAAATTTTTGTTGCTAAGTAAGACCTTTGTTAAGTGAATTTTGTACCTTTCTTGCCACATTTGTTAAGCAAATCACTGAAGTTGTCAATTTAATAACCAGTGTTGCTAAGTGAATCTGGCTTCCCCATTGACTTTGCTTGTCAGAAGATCGCAAAAGGACAATGCAACCATCGTAAATGTGAATCAGATGCTAAGTGCCTGAGTTTTGATCATGTGACCAGGGGGAATGCCACAACCGTCGTAAGTGTGAAAAATGATCGCAAGTATTATTTTTTTTCAGTGCTTTTGTAACTTTGAATGGTCATTAAACAAAGTGTTGTAAGTTGAAAACCTGTAGTTTTGTCAGAACTGAATTTTGTACGTTGTAAATATTGTTTGGTTTACTGAGACATTCAGCAAATCAGATTGCCTAGCAGATCTGCTTCTTTCTCATCAAAAGAATGACAAGTTATATGCCAGCAGCCTCTACCAAAGTTTAAGATTTTTAGCTAGAAAACCATTCAAATTACATTTCCTTCTGTTCATTTGCACATGTTTACCCATGGCTAACAGACTGCATCATCAACTAACCCCATGGAGAGAGTTCCCACAGCACTCTTAAGATTAGTATTTGGTCAGCCAGATTGCATTTCAGGGTATTCTGCAAACCTAATTAATATGTTCATTTAAGCCAACCATAGACAATTTATTTTCATATTACAGGGAAAAAAATGATTAAAGTTGGAGATTTTCATTAACTAATCATTTATAATTAATTAAATTATCCATAGAAGCATAATTTTCTTAAAGCTACCATCATATTATAAGTTATCTTACAATAATAGTAATTATTAATGTAAAATATTGGCTTTTCTTTCCATCTATCTTATACCACAAATCATACTATTTGTGAAGAGCTTAAACATTTTATCCCAGTTGCAGCCTCTAATCATAGTTGCTCCCAAACTAAATCTGGATAACGTAATTCTGTGTTCCATTTGATTAGCACTTAGGAGCCATGGTGGTGCAGTGGTTAGAATGTAGTATTGTAGGCTGACACTGCCCATAGCCAGAGTTCAATTCTGACTGGCTCAAGGTTGACTCATCCTTCCATCCTTCTGAGGTGGGTAAAATGAGGACCCAGGTTGTTGGGGGCAATAGGCTCACCTGTAAACCGCTTAGAGAGGGCTGTAAAGAACTGTGAAGCAGTATATAAATCTAAATGCTATTTACTTCATTCTATTTCATTCCAGGATATGTCTAACACCGAAAAATATTGCTAACTTGATGTATAATTTTATAATCTACTTCAGCAGAAAACATGCATTTTAAAGTACTGGAATAGTAACCAGGAAGATGACAACTATGTCACTTAGGATAACATGCTCAGCACACCTAAATTCAGTCTCATTAAAAGTATAAAAATACTGATGAGATTTAAACATGTATTTACATAGGGTAAATGATAAACCTAAATACATTCAATGCAGAATGGGAAACTATTTCCCGCATGAAACATTCACTCTAGCCCATTCTCTAGGTGTCTTATTCATAAACTATCTAAAAAAATTGCTATGTAAATCTGTTAAATGCACTTATGAATAACAAAAATAATGGGGTTTCAGTTTTGCTATTGAGATTTTAGAAGTAGTTTATGACAGTGGAAGATAAAGTTCTATAATAATATTTTGTAATGTAATTGCCAATTCAAATTTAAAAAGGGCTTGAATTAAAAAGAACTAAAGCAATTGTTAACGTTTGTTACCTGTAAAGGTTGTAAACATAATTACCGGGATTAGGAAACAAAAAGAAAGGTAGGTAACACTGTAGCCAAAATTAAAACCATCAAGTACAACCTATCTTGTACATGTTACCAAACAATACTCAGTATTTGTAAATTGTAGCTAATCTAAAACTGAACAATCAGATAAGAGGGGAGGATTCAACTAACACCCATAAACCTAAACTTTATCCTAACATGTGACTACAAGCCTGAAATGTTTTTATTTGGGTTAAGTTATCTTCTGTTTTTATTTCAACATCTGCATACTAAGCGGCTTATAATGCAATAATAATTTGACGTTTCTTCAGAAAGAGATTTTTCTATAAATACTGTTCCATCTTTGAAGATGGACAGCAGAGAAATGGAAAAAAATAAAATAATATAGGTGATCCTCAATTTACAACTACAATTAGGACTTCCGAATTACCGTTGCTAAGCAATGTTGTTAAGCAAGTCACACTTGATTTTATGATTTTTGGCACAGTTCAGCAAATCACTGCTGTTGTTAAATGAATCACGCAGTCGTTAAGATAATCTGGCTTCCTGTTAGGTGGCCAGAAAAGTTTTTTTTTTTAAAGTGATCACATGACCTCAGGATGCTACAACCTTCTTAAATACATGCTGGCTGTCAAACACCCAAGTTTTGATCATGTGACTGTGGGGATGGCCGTGGCTGTTGTGTGAGTCTTGGTTTCAGAAACCGTTGTAATTTCAAACAGCCGCTAAGTGAATGATTGTAAGTCAAGGACTACCTGTACACTGCTGGGCCCCATTAAAATAAAGGAAATAAAATATTGTACACTCTATTGTTTGTGCAGATACTTCCTTTCCAATCGCAGGGTTTTAAGACTGCCCTGGCCTTCAATTTTTTACTTCAACAAATGTAAAACTGTTTTATATTGGCAACATATTGTGCATAAAGGCCCCTTTGTTTTCTATGTAAAAGGCACTATAGTCTTTAGCAGCTGCAGGGACAGAAGATGACACTAGCAGGAACAGACTGGTAAAGTTAGTACACTACAAAGCACACAAAAAATGAGTAATGGACATTTATCCTCCTCACCCAATAAAATAGAAGCCATGCTGTGCCTCGGCCAGAACCGCAATAGCTGAAGGGGCCCAGTGTTCAAAAACATAAGGCAGATATACACAAGTTATGTTTTGAACCGAAAATGAAGCTGCAGTTGCCCTGGCAGGAAAGGAAAGGATCTGTGCCACGTTTGATCTTTCAAGCATTTGTAAAATATCAGGGTGTTTTTTTTTAAACACAGAGCCTTCTAGGAACAGCTTCACAAGATATCACACTCTCTAGTTATTTTCAGAGGAGCTTCGAAAACACCAAAGCAGCTGTGGCTATAGTTACAAAACTCTGAGCAATGTAATATTAAGATATGGCAAATACGCAAGCTAATTTGAAGTTAGCAAAGGCAGCGCTGTCATCATCTTGTAGGAGATTCTGCCTTAAAATGTGGCAGGCTGAGAAAGAATTGTTTTTAAGCGAAGTTTGAGAGGTACAGTATTTCTTGGGTGGGGAAGTTCATTTTACGAAATGAGCACAAGAGCAAACAATACATGTTGTGTTGTCCATATTCGAGAGATATGTTGCTAATAGAATGATAAAATATAATCTTTTTGACAAGGGGTAATCAAATGGGATAAATAAAACTAATGTCATAGATGTGAAGAGGTTTCTAGAGCAGGGGTGTCAAATTCCCATCGTCATGGTGGTATCACATGACAGATGACTTTACCCCCCCCCTTCGCTAAACCGGCCGTGGGCGTGGCCAGCACGTGATGCATCCAATCCGCGGACTGAGAGTTTGACAACCCTGTTCTAGGGTAGTGTTTCCCAACCTTGACCCTTTGAAGATAGATGGACTTCAACTCCCAGAATTCCCAAGCCAGCTGGCTGGGAAATTCTGGGAGTTGAAGTCCATCCATCTTCAAGGAGTCAAGATTGAGAAACACTGTTCTAGAGTATATGATTATGAAATGAGCAAAAAGAATGTTTACAGATAACTCAAATGTTGTCTTGATGAGTTAAACCAGGATGCAACCTATAAGACAATTTTCTGGTAATTTACTCCCCACTTAGCAACTGTTTGAAGTTATGACAGACCTCCCCCAGAGCTACTTGCAACCCAGTTCCAGAGTTCCAATGGATGCACACACACACACACACACACACAGTCACATAATCATATTTTGGACGCTCTGTAACCAGCTCACATTCATGGCCATTTGAAGTATCCTATGATCAGATGACTGCAATTTTCAGCATTTTTTGCCAGTTCCTGCACTTATGTCTATAAAAAATGACTATTGAAAAAAACGTTCATTTAACAGCCACTTAACCATCACAGAAAAAGAGTAAAGTCAGGTGTGTCACAAGATGACCTGCTTAACCACTGCTATGACTTACCACTGTAATTCTGACCACAATTATGTTCCTAAGAAGAGAACTACCTGCATGCACAAGAAGCAACTTTAAGCGTGCAATCCTATCCTGGGGATCTGGCATTACAAGACATTCGGGGTCAAGGACTGAATTTCAGCCCTGTGCTATGCAGTCCTGAAAATTCGGTATTTGTACAAAATTATAGTCCATAAGCGTTCTGTCTCCTTTACAATCCTCAGCACTATAGCTTATTTTCAAAGAAGTGTTAGAAATCAGATTTCAGCTGCACCAGAACAAGAACCTGTTTTCTGCAACTCTGATTTGTATCTGACCAGTTTCATAAAATGATACTTATTAAAATATATTATAGTAGAACATGTTGCCCAAAGGACTTACCTACTTCAAGAAGAGATAACGAGCAGTGGAAATTGTATCCTAGGTAAATATGCTTTTTAAACCACTATCTTAAACATCTCCTGCAATTTGTTCTCACATGAAATAGGGTGTTTCAAAACAAGGGACAATTTAGGGCACATGTTATATTTTGCAATAATACTTATTTTATTCCTGGACACTAAAGACCACATTGTGGATAACATATGGTTACTTGGTGCCAGTTTTTCAATAAATCTTATTAGCCTAAACAATCTGTTGTAGGATCAAAGCCTCTTTTTTGAAGGTTATGGGTGGAATCTATTATTCTGACTAACCCTTGTGGTTTTTGACTTTACAGCTTAGGATTGAAAGTGAGTGACTGGCCCACCACACTCACCCAACAGGCTACTGCCTTAAGACAGAAAGAACTTAAGTCATGGTGTCCTAGTTTTTAGTCTCCACCAAATTGGTTATCTCTATATTTAGTATATTTAGTAACCATAAATTGTATATCCTCTTTTAAATAAAGAGGCAATAAAAATAGCAGACTGTTCCCATAATTATAACAGCCTGCCATTTATACCTCACAGAATTTACCTGCAGATATATAAAGGAAAAACTATAAAATAAAAAGGTAGCTTCCTTCCCCCTTAAATTATGCAATCTTCATCCCAACTCTGCCAGTCCCCAGCTGTCACAGAGAGAAAGAAAAACTCAATGTCATTGTAATTATAGGCATATAATTATTTAGATAAGCTTCACTAAAGTCTAGAGACTGTGATTAGAGCAAATTGCTTGCCAAAAATTGAGAACTTATTTTTCAACATACAGCCAGTAAGAAGAGATGAGCTAAACTTTGCAGTTTTTTCCCTTTATTCCAAAAAAGCTTTACACGTCATATTAATCTATTAACAGGAAGCATTTTTGTTGTTTTTTAATATTATGTTGAGGCTGTCACATAAGTCATTGTGTACAAATTGACCCCAATGCTAATCTTATTTCAACAAAATTTGCTTCCAGATAAATCAAAAGGACAAAATACTGACCACTTATCAATTGACAAAACAAAATTAGGCTAGGATATTTAAACCAAACCAATTTTGAGGATGTTAAAAAAATGGTTTTTTATTGGTCACTTTGAACTCTTTTTCATTTACTACCACCATTGTTTTAAATCTCAACGTGACCAAGTAAAGATGAGAAACCCAAACTTTGATCAGAGTTCTCTTTTAACTATGTTCTTTATGTTAACTACTACATAAACCAATATGCTGAGTAGATTCCCCAAATAGCTTGCCTCTCCAAGCAATTGAGGAAATTAGCCTTTGAATTTCATTATAGGCTTTTAAATGCTTAATTCACAAACATGCCCAGAGTACAGCATACACACTTTTAATTAGAACTAGCAAACAATCTCATAAAGATTATAGAATACAAAATAAACACCTTGTTAACAAAGAACACAAAACATTACCCTCTTAAACAATCTTAGCAAGTGATTGGGCTTAGAAACCAAATAGGGGTAGTTCTGGTTAGTTGTGATGAAGACTAATTTAAAGCTCCAACACTATAGGCTAAACTGAGAAATCAAAAGAAAAAAAATCAAAACAGGAATCTTAATTTAAAGGGTTTTATTTATTACTGCCATGAAACCCTTTAAATCACCAGATCTGTAAAGCTTCTTCCTAAGTCAAACAATCTGACTCTGGGCAGCTTACAACAACAAACAATAAACCAAACTACCCCTCTCAAACTTTAATATTAAAGCTATACAGAATGGTGATGACCAAACACTATTAGCTGCCAACAAAAGGGGACTAAGTGAACAGAGCTAGGGCCTGCATCTGGAATGAAGTAGGGGTGTTGTACAGAACAAGGTCAACAACAGAAAAGGCACAAGCACAATTTGGTTTTGCTCTTGTGGTTTGAATGTGTTTGAATAAGCAACAGCAATTATAAAAATTATCTAGTCATTAAACAGGAAGCTTTACATGTATATGGATATCTTGGATGATCTCAGACACTTACGAATCTTTTATCCTAGCATGTGAGCACAGCCTATGTGCTTTGTTTATGGTCCACAGAATTGTGCAAAGCCAGCTGGGTTGACTAAACCAAGGTTAACTACAATAAACAATGTATGCTACCATTATAAAAGAATTGCCTTACATCAAGCCTGTGAAGGTTCACTTAGCCCAGTGTTAACCACTCGATGTGTAACAGCCTCTCTAATGTCCCATCTTCAAATCTGGATTCAGACTCCAACTGATCTCCTGTGGGCCTTTAGACATGCTTCAACATACCATCTTCCCAATAACCATTTCATTAAAGTCCTTAGGGATTCAGTCCCAGAATGTTGCATTTTCCCATTGTCTGTTTTTCCCTTGAGCTTCCTACTAACAATTTCCAAAGAGCAGATATTATAATGCACAAAAACTTCAAATATTGGCTTCAATTTAAAATGAGAAAATAGCATCAGGCAGGACTATTTTACAATTGAAGAAAGGCTGAAATGAAGGAACAAAATTAGTTACTGCCAGAGACAAAATATTTAACATTCAGGCAAAGGTTAATTTCCTAGTTTAATAAATCACACAAATGCCTTGTTTTACTAATTCTAAATGCTATTAAGGGTACTCCTATATAATAATATATAATTATACAGAGTCCCTATAGTGAAAATCATGTTTTGTTTTGTTTTAATAACTGTAGAAGTTAACCATTTTGAGTGGGGAAGACATTCTCCAATGTTCCTGAAAATCACACCTACATGGAAGACCATACCACAAGGCTTATTTTAAATCCCACATTTGTGCTTCTGTGTATGCTAATCCAATACACAATGTGTCATGTAGGAGAGTTATACCTAACATTCCAGGACAAAAATCCACTCCCAGGCTTCTCTACCCACCCTCAAATTTGCCATTCAGAAGGCTGAATTCCTGGAGCGATAGAAGCTGTGAGCAAGCCAGCTTTTTAGGAAAACTAAACTCAGGCTGGTAGCATTTGTAACCCTTTGCAGCAAGTCACTAGCCCAGGGGCTCAGTCCCAGGGAGCCTGTTTTCCTCCCACTCTACCTCCTGTGCCCATACATTTAACTCAGTTTGTCTGAAATGGTAACCACTGTCTGGAATGGCGTGGGGGTTTCCTGCTTGAGCAGGGGTTGGACTAGGAGACCTCCAAGGCCCCTCTCTTCCAACCCTGTTGCTCAGCCCCGGAATCCCAGAACCCAGCTCTTCTTTCTGTTCGTGCACAACTACAGGTAACCCTCGACTTACAGCAGTTTATTCAGTGACCGTCGAAAGCTATGACATCCCTGGAAAAAAAGGGGGACTTAGGACCATTTTTCACCATCTCTATGCGGGATCAAAATTCAGACGCTCGGCAACCACTTCATAGTTATGACTGGTTCATACTTATGACCACTGCTTGTGTCCAGAGGTCACGGGGATCCCCTTTTCTTTGCCACCTTTTGGCAAGCAAAGTCAATGGGGGAAGAAGCCAGGTTCACTTGCAACCGGGTTATTTACTAACTTAGCGACCAGATTCACTTACAACCGGGTTCTTCACTAACTTAGCCGCGGCATTCACTTAAAGAACAACCGTGGCAAGGAAGGTGGTAGGAAAAGGGGCAAAGCTCAACTGAGCTGAGGTCTCAGCTTTAACAACAGAAACGTCGGGCTCCAGTGCGGCCGTAAGTCGAGGGCCACCGGGGCAGGAAGTTGGAAATGCGTCCATTTCAAAGCTTCAAGCAAACCCCGAGAGAGAGAGAGAGGCAGAGAACCGAGACAGCTTAGGAAACTCAGCTAAGCTATAGGCAGCCTAAGCAAGTCCAGGAAGGCTTCAGGAGGAGCAAGAGCAGCAGCCTCTCCTCTTCCTCTCCGGCCTAAAAATCCCCCAAAAATCTCTTCCCCCCCCCTCTGGCCTAAGTCCCCCCACCTCCCCTGGCCTTCCGTCCCCGTTAATTCCTCCAGCGCTACTCCCTCGCCGGACAGTTTCACTCGCTCCGTATTGTGTTCCTATTAGCGCTTGGCGGGCGGGCGGCGGGCTGGCTGGGGGACACCTCCCCTCCGGCCCTTTCTGCCTTTGGCTCGGCTTCCCCGCTCCGTCGGGCAAGAAGGACCCCTGACCCGCCGCCCTGCCTTCTTTTTCTTCCTCCTCCTCCTCCTCCTCCCTTTGCAGCCTCGACTTACGCCCGGGGGCCGCGCCTTCCTTCCGATAACGGCGGGCCGGGGGGACTCCGTCGCTCCCCCTGCCCAACGGTCCTCCAAATGGAGCCCCCACCTCTT